ATATTTGCACAAGGGTTTTCTAATCATCAATTAGCCTTCTACATCAATGAGCAAACACATTGTACAATTAGAACACTGGAGTAATAGTCGCTGGGCCTCTATACACCGATGTAGATATTGCACCAAAAACCAGACATTTGAAGCTAGAATGGTCATTTACCACATTAGCAATGTATAGAGTGTATTTGTTTAAAGTTAAGACTAGTTTAAAGTTATCTTCATTGAAAAGTAAACTGCTTTTCCTTCAAAAATAAGGACATTTCAATGTGACCCCAAACTTTTGAATGGTAGTGTATGTCAGATGCCAGTACAGCTGGGTGGCAAACATGGACTGGGGACTGGACATGCTGATTCCAGGCATGGACAATGAATGCAATCTGACTGTAAAACAATAAACTTTACTTAATCTTAAGTTTTTCACATATTTTAATTATCTTTTTTTCAGTAACCTAATAAGCTCTAGTTTGTATTATATTATAAATAAGTTTAACAATGTATAAGTAATCCTGTGTTTGTTTTTAAAGTGATTATTTAATACAACTCGCACAATAAATTGTTGAAAAAATATATTGTACTTTTATTTTCAGTTCAGTCAATTGTGGAAAAAAAAATGCCCTTCATGTTTAGGAAAGATCCCCTTGATGCAAGAGAGATAACTCTGATTTAATCAAAACGGCTGCTTATTAATTCATCCGTCCATTGATAAAAATTAGATTCATTCATTAATCAATCACTTGCATCCCTCGCTTATGGAAAACAAAATTAACAGAAATAAATACCTTCAATTGTTGATTATAACTCTATGACATGGATGAGCTCAGTACCTTGCTGTCCCAGTCTGACTGCTCTTTCAGCGCAGACCAGGCCATTTGGGCTGCTTTCTGTTTGGCCTCCTTGGCGCTCTTGCCCTCACAAACGGGGAACTCCGTGTCATTAATCAATAACTTGTAGAAAAATCTGCAATTTGCAATGTGAAAACATTGATATGCAAAAGATTTTCCAAAATTTCGGCTATGTATTCAGCTCAAAGTAGTAGCTTTAAACTTACACCGGGTTATGGGGGGGGCCGCATCTTTTCTCCTCTTTATAAACACAGGAGCGCCTTGTCTTCTGGCAGTAAGAGTTGACCATTCCTATGAAGTTTGTGTCCATTAAGATGCTGTCATCAGACTTCAGGCTCAACCGTTTAACTCGATTACTAAAAGATGAAGAAGTAAGAAAGCAGGTTGGTTATCAAAAAGGCTCCTGAATTTGACCAAAAGGATAGTTCAATTTCTAAGATATTACTACCGTATTTTCACGACCATAAGGCGCACCGTACTAAAAGTCGCAGTCTCAGTTATGTGTGCCATTACTGTATTTAACACAGACATAAGGCGCACCGGATTATAGGGTGCGGGTTTTATATACCGGTACATATCCTCTACTACATTT